ATGGTATAAAATGCTGTTTTTTTACGGTGGATCTTTGTTGATGGTCTCAGAATGTAACATCTCAACTGACAGACATTATTAATAGTCATCACTTTAAAGAATTTTACTGGAAGATCTGAACAAGATCTGAACCCTGTTTCTTGGGCTGAATACAATCGTGCATCAGAGTACCATTAAAAGATGGTACGTCTTGAAAAAAATCCGTAGGTACTACATTAGACACCTATGACAGAACTCACAAATTTAGGCCCCCCAGCTAAAGCATTTCAATAAGCTCGTGTTCCGGTAACCACAAAAATCTATGGCATGTCCAGATTTATTCAGAAGCATTTGGACTATGCAGTCCCCTAAGAAACCAAGCTTCCTGATGCCTTCAGCCTACCCAGGAGACCCACATGTCTGTGCTGAAATGAGAAGGCCTCTGATTGGGCATGCATGCTCACTTCCCTCTGGCTTCATGCCACGGCTTCTGTGTGGCCAAGGACCCCTGCACATAGAAGACAACTCAAGAGGAGAGGTCATCTTCTTCTTCTTTGCATCTTCTTCCTAAGCACCTGTGTCTGGGCTGCAGCGGTGCCTATTACCCACCAAACTTTGTGCTTCCAACCGTGTCATAGGCCAGTGACTACACATGAAATGGCCCCCCTTCCTGTTTGTTGCCCAGGCTCTGTCTCTCACTGTACAGAAATTTGAGATATATTTATGCCCTCCTCTCTAAGTGGAAGTAAGAAAGTCCCTCTTGTAGTCTTTTCCCATACATTCATTCTCCAGTTTTAGCATTTACTCACCTCTTTACTTGGGTACCCAACACCCATGAACCGAGTTTAAAGCCCTTCTTGTTAAGTTAGCAGATTTGTTCACAAACACATTCCCCGCTTCTGAGGGTGTCATCGTAACTGATGATCGTAAAAGCCAGTTTTGAAATTAATTTGCCTGTCATTGAGCATATTTGTAAAGTCTTTTTTCATTGTTAGACAGAATCCTGCATTGGTCTTTATTTTAGAGTGCTGAAGCAACATGTCACTTGTCCTCTCCCTGTTATAAAAACTGATGGAAGATAAGAATGAAAGAAGTGTCTCTGTTTTTTCCATGAAGAGGTAATTGACCCAAGCCTTCAATACTAATTACCTTCTGCGAGTCCCAGGATGTGTGCGTAGTCATGGAAGATGTTAATTGATGTAGATAACAACAGTTCCTCAAGCCTCATAATGTTATTTAACTGTAGGATCACGCTGGGATGGAAGTGTCGAGAGTTTTGTAGATGGGAGTGAAAGACGGACTACTGACCAGCTGATGAGACGGCTGAAATCTTGCTCTAGGGTAAATGTAGGGACTTAATTTCATTCTGAAGGCTGCAGCAGAAAGGTGCTTATACACACTCTCACCGACACCTCCTGCTCCTAGATGCAAGCCCTGTTCTCCCACCATTTAGCTTCCAGAACTCTCTTTTTCCTGACCCTCTGCCCTACCCAGCCTTCTTACCCTCCTCGAGGAATCTCGGTCCCCTGCAGTTCATGCACAGACAAGAGTTCAGCTTTCTGTCAGCAATTTGCTGAGCAGAGGCAGAGATTTCATTATCAAGAAGGAAAAGCTGTGGCCTGCTTTTAACCTTCCTCTCCTGCTTTTGGAGCAAAGAGGCTTGCTCACTGTCACATGAGCTTCTCTGGTGAAGAGGACCCAGTGAGGAGGCATGGACAAGATAGCCAGAGAGTACATGTGCTCAGGACTTCTCAAGACTGGTATTGCCAGTAGGTGAGATAATGCTAATTAGTGCCTAATGATATTAGTATTATGTGATACTGCCTACATTTACAGTGCAGTGCTACCATGGTAGTGTCATGCTGGCCGCCATGAGTCTGCCCAAAGGAGCAGCTGAGACATCCATTGGTTCTGCAGAATAGATCCAATGGAACCTGCCATCGGGAGGACAGGAGCTCCAGGATCCTTAGGCAGTCTGCTGAACAAGGGTGATTGATCAAAGCTGAATTTTTTCTGGGAAATCTCGCTGTCTATGGGAAGGATAGTGAGTATATATGTATAGTCACCGTAACTCTTAAGCCCTCTGAAGATCTGGGAGGACAGATACCACTGCCAAAGATAAACCAGTGCCATGCTTCTGAATAGGGACAGGAGGTCTAAGAAATTCCTCCTATGAATGAGTCAGAAACACTGTTCTGCACCCATATGGACAGTGAAATTACCAACTTCATGATCTTTTCATGGGTTAAAGGTATAGGCATGGAGATACTAACACCTAAACAAATACACAGATACGAGTTTTGTAATTGTCTTTTATTACAAATAACTATTCTACACATCATCTCATCATTGCTTGGAAAACATTAAATAATTGATCTAGGATGTATACTACAATTTTCTGAGCTGTTGCAGAATGAGGCCTTCCTTTTAACAGTTGAATTTTTAATACTTTGAAGAATCCCATCAGGCTTAAACTCCCAGTCTACATCCCCATAATGTTCAGAACCACCAAGGTTAGAACGGAAGAAACTTTTATATCTTGTCTGGAGCAGTGCAAGCCAACCATGGTCACAAGACTACATTTGCTAATGTTTTTGATTTTCATACGTGTATGAGCTATGTAAATTAATGTGGCTATTAGTGTATAGCTGTATGACTGGAAAACATTTTAATACATATCTTAAGGTTGATGATAACCTTGCAGATTCTCATCTACCTCTGCTTACAATCCCCAAGTGTTTTGTGATAAGCTGCTATTAGACTTAAGCCCAGAAAAATCTCTTTTCTAATCATTAAGGAAGATTTTTAAAATAACCTATTCTTTTCCTCTCTGTTGCTTAAACTGTGAGTTCTCAAGCTGGCTAATATGCAGTGCTATTTTATTTTCTGCAAATTCAATGAAAGACAGCTAAGCCCAGATTTCTTATGTTAAACTTACATGTGAACTATTGTAGATAACCAGGGGTGATCACACAATTGCAAGTGTACAGGAAGCTTATTCCAAAGGCACAAATTAGTGCTCTGTACTAGTGTTAATGAGTGGAGATGGGGGTCCTTATCACAGAGCTGTCTGAGAACCTGTTCAAAATCATTAAGGAAATGCCGTAGGCAAGCTTTTAAATTTATACAGCAAAACCCAAACTAATTCGGTCGTAAAGAAAAAGTTATTAATGTATTTTGTAAGTATAAACCATATGTATCTATTTGTAATGTTTATCACAGTGAAAACACACCATATTCTGTATGTCTCTAGTATTCGTCTGCAAATAATTTCCAGATCAGTTCTACTATTTGCAAATGTCTAATATTTGTAAAATACTCCAGGCTAATTATTTGTGCATAGTTCATTTTAGTATTCATCATTTGGGGCTGAGCAATTAGATGCTTACCCATTGGGGGAATCCAATTTAATATGTTTTAAAAATTGCCTTGCTGAGTCAGAGCTCAGCTAGTATAACCATTTTAATTGGAAAATAATGGAGAAGAAGTTATAACTGGTGCTTAATGCCACCTAATAATTACTGAATAAAATGTAGGGATATTTAAATGTCATTCTAATTGAATATCAATCACTTAAATCTTTTCAAATGCCAAATAATATGATCTTTGAACACCAATGAGCAAAATAATTTCTTCATAAATAATCTACACATCTGTCATTGTTGAGCTGATTATAATACTAATCTGTACTAATAATTTAATTCCCAGCCCTTTCAAAATCCTTTATAAAATGTCGTATCTGTAATTCAGAAATTATTATTTTGGTACAACTCTAAATATTACTAGTGGAATGAGGAAATCTTTGCAATTACTAAATATAGAAGTTTATACTAAAAATCTTCAAAAAACAATTAAAAGGACAATTTTTAGCTTAAGCAAGTTTATTAATGCTTTCAATTTCCATCCTTGTGTTAAAATAATTTTTTGGATTTTAAAGAAACTGTCCAGATACAAAAAATTACATGTAAACAATGTTGCCTCTAAGCATGAGGCAACATTGCAGTTTATTAAATATCAATGAAAGCAAAGTAATGCTCCCTTGGAAGAAAGAAAAAAAAAATCAAACATTTCATAAAGCACAAGGTTATCATTTTAAAAAGCACTGGTAAGGTGAGGCGAGGAAAGGCTGGAGACTGCATCTGATCTCTGATCTCTGCTGATGCTGAAGGCGACGGCCTTTTTGCCATTAACTGTGAATGGTGAATGTCAGCAAGCTGTTTCATATTACATCAGCACCAGCGTTTTTGTGTGCCTTCAGAATCTGTCATACACCCAAGTAAGCTAGCCTTAAAAACACATGTAAAGAAGAATGTTATTTGAATTTTTACTGTAAAACTCTACTCAGAAATTTAAACAGAAGTTCTGTGTTTTGTTAATAAAACAGAATTTTTCTTTCAAACCTGAAAAGTGATCAAAGAATGGGTGTATGTATAGCACTGTCTGGCAAGTATCAGTGCTAACAGAAGGGTGATAGTTATTAAATCTTATTATTTAATTACATTAACGAACAGTGCTGCACTGGCATGTCACCTAAGTTTACAAATTAAAAAAATGTTTCGAAATAAAAAAGACTGTCTATAAAGTTCAAATCAGATGGAGAAGTCAAGTAGACAGGTAGTTTTTTCATAATTAGATTGCAGTCACTGAACAGGTACTTTTACCTGCACATTGACAGGAAATGATGTCAGAAGTAATTAATAGGTCAGGTCTAAGCAGTTTTCCAAAAGGTTTGAAACAGTCGGATTTGGCCTGCTTTGTTCTATGTTGAATTTTGTAAAGGGTGGTTTCCAAGAATATGGTATGTATTTTCTGGAAGAGTGACTTGAACTATAGAAGACCTCCAGTTAATGTCTGGCTGACAGATCGGATACTGACCTACCTTCAGAAGTTTTTAATATAAAGCAGTACCAGTGTTGCTAGCTGAGAGTTTTCCCACACAAAAAAAATGCATAAAATATTATTTTTATATGGTAAATAACAATGATGTTTGTTCTCTCAAAAATCATGCATTTTTTTTCCAGTCTAAAACGTATATGTGCAGTTGGCAAGGGGATGCCCTGTGTTTCACAGTCGACTTTGCTCTGGGATTTACCTGTTTTGACAGTAAAACAAAGGTAAGGGGAAAAAGAGAAGAAAACATAACTCTGCTTTGTTGTACTATTATTGACGTTATCATTAACCATAATTTTTAATGTTGATCAGTAACAGTAATTTTTTATGTTGATGCTGAGTATTTCTTGCCCAAATGTACTGTACTTTTATTTATAGAGCAGTACTGAAATGTAGTCAGTTTGTGACTAGAAAGGAACAGTTATACTTGTGCCTTAGCATGTAAAGATAAATTTTGGAGAAAGACAGAAAAAAAAGTAATTTCCTTTTCAAACAATAAAAGCGAAGGAAGTTTATTTTTAGCAGAGAACTTGTTTCTTAGTAATGAAGAAATGTCAAGATTTTTAAAAGATCACCAGTCATGAAAAGTGTCACCTGATTCTATTTATTTTGAAGCTATGGATATAAAATGGGATTAATTATTCTTCCATCATAAGAAATTTAGGCTATGTCTAAAATAAACAGGACAATGACAAATGCATTTCAAAGTCATAATCTATAAGATTTAATTCACTTATCTTGCAAAACAGGGTGCCTACAGGGGATGGTTTATGATACATGCCAACTTCCTAGCCCTCTCTACAATCCTACTGTTTTACAGTGATACTTTAATTTAAATTATTCTAAATTGATTTATACATTTGTTTCCCAGTAGAAGTAAACACACGTAGAAAAAATTTTTCTGCCTTAATAGAGCTGTACAGTAGAAGGTTTGTCCTCTGAAATAAGGTCTTCAGCTCCAAACTGAAAGGATTTTTTCAATATATATTTAAGAAATTCAGTCAGTCGTTCTGAGTTAAGAGAAAACATACTGCATTTTGAAATATTGACACAGGATCTAGTTTTCGTGTGAGGGTATTTTGAGGGGTCAGACCAAAATGCACAAATCTTTGTGGAGAGAAATAATGACCAAGATTGTTGTTATTTCAAAATTTAGACTAATTGCATTAAGTATTCTATCCTGAGGTGGCATAAAATTTCAGGAAATACATTTGCATACCTTTCTCTGCCTCAGGTGATACTGCATTCTGAATTTGTGCTTTTTGCACAATTGTGCACATTTTGCCCATAGCCACAAATTAACTCTTGAAAGTATTCTCATTGGTTTAGACTACACAAAATGTTTCTTTTAAATGTGAAGATTGATTGGGTGTACTCCCACCTTTAAACTTACAAACTTCTCTATTGATACTGCTTTGTACATGATCAAAAAATGAGCCATAGTTAAAATCTTGTTCCTACTGCATTCAGCAGAACCAAGATATTACCTATAGAAAGGATAGGACTTTGAGCCATAGGGCCTCCCTTCAGTGTTGATGATGACAAGGATTTAGATCAACGTTTGGTGCTCACCTAAGGAGAAATAATAACATCAGATAGATTGTTTCTCTTGTTAAACTGTAAAAATTCTGGAGAGCTCAAGACATTTATTGTTCATCTGTGTGAGTCCTCTGCATCCTCAAGCCTGAGTAAGGCAGTAATGAGTGGCTTCCACAGTTCATCTTCCTTCCCATAATTGGCAGCTGGAGTTGACTGTGTTGCCCAACACTCACAGATTTTTCAGAATATTTCCTACCAACACTGAATAATTGTTGAATGGGTCAAGCAGTTAACAGTTCATTAGGGACACGGCTATTTTGCTGAAAACCTTATTTTTTCTTAGAGATAATGAATTTCAAATTAAAGACACCTACTGATGCAAAGAATGGTCTTACACCACAGCAGGTGTTCATACAGGCATATTAAAATGAAGGCCAGTCCCCCGTCCGCCCTATGACTCTCAGCCTAGGATCTCAGATTTTGGGCAAGCAGCTCATGTACTCATTAAAAAATGTTCTTTATTACAGTCTGTACAATAATATAAAAAGGCCCTTCTTATTACAAAAGACAAAATAAAAAGGGCAAGAACTTTTTCTTAGTAATTGAAGTGTCTTAGAAAGCTCTTCTCAAGAACCATTTCGAGGAATTCTTAAACTTATTTGAAAGAATTACTGCATTTCATACATGTTCTGTTCCAGGGTCGTCATGGGCTTAACTCATTCAACTTTTACTGTTTTGGGCCCATCACAGACTTACTCCTGTGGTGTACAGCTGCTTTATATCTGATCACAGAGATCTTTTTTAACTAGTTGGCTTGGTTGGTTCATCTTCCCTATGCTGTGCTCCAGCCACTCATCCAAGTTAAAGGGATCCCAAAGTGTTCATTTTCTTCCACCTTCCAGAGCCATCTAATTCTTTTCTTTTCCACTTGGTGTCAACTGTTGAGAGAGATTATGACTCCAGCAATGCTTATTATTGCTAAATTGTTCCTAAATTCTTGTTTCATTTCCACTGTAGCAATTATATTATATGGAGAACATTCATATATTCTATTTAGATACAAATTCATTAAGCTTTGAATACTTTTTAGGTGATCTAATTAGGTCCTCTGACCCAGTTCAAATCTGTTCATGAATGTAAAGTTTAGACACCATCACAATGCTGTAGCATAGTTGGGTTTTGTTTCATCTGTTATGTTTGTCTAAGTCAATGGTGTTCATGTCTGCAGGGAACCAGGAGATGGAATCAGGGGTTTTGTGAGTTCTGTAAACACTTTTTTATTTACAGGGCATTCCTTTTCAGTCTGTGAGTGGGATTCTGAAGACCACTGGTAGCACTGGTCTACATGAAAAAAATATTTTGCGATGAGGCATATTGGAAAATGGAACATGGCAAATTTTTTTCTGTGTGAGCTTATGAAATAGCCTTCAAAGTATTTAGATCATGCTTCCTCAGCAGTGTCCAGGGACTGAATCACATTCCAACATGTGCATAGGATTTTCATTAAGAATATAGGCATTAAGGAAACATCAGTAGGAAGTCTGGGTACAAGTTGTTACCTTCTGGTTTTTTGGGTTTTTTTCAGGTGATTGATAGAAAACATTCAAATAAATACAAAAATTTACACTGGTTTCAAAAATAATTTCCCAATATTTGGTTTTAAAAACTATGTCCATAACTATTGAAACATACCTGTCAATCTAGCATTTGCCAACAGTAGTAAGATGCTACACATATAACTGTAGGAGACCAAGAAGCTTAGAATTCTTATATATTTTACAAAGAACTGTGTAATGTAGAGCATATTTTTTGTAGTTTGTGAGACTACATTCAATAATAATATTTTTTCAGTTCTATCATTTATTTTATCTGAGGATTTTAAACCACGTTACGTATTTCAGTAAATTCAGCTTTCCAACATCCAACATGTAAGACATTATTATCTGTGTTATGCAGATGAGCCAGTTAAAATATGAAAGATCGAGATATGGTATGAAATTGGGTTCGTAGCAAAACTGATACAAATATCCTTATGGATCTCTCTAGAATTAAGCTTTTAAATGAAACATTTACATTTCAGAGAATTTCTAAATAACTGTTTAATAATTGAATATTAATATTGTATCTTTTGCTTTCATATATGATACAGAGCTGTTAATTTTATTTGCTCTGCAACCAGTCTGTTATAATGCACTGTGTTTACCACCCTAATACTTTATCTTAATACATAAACATTGATCATCAATCTATAGTTCTAGATAAGAGTGTGTAACAGAGTCCTTAATCAAATGTCTTTCTCTTCAGAATGTCCTGTGGAGGTTTAAGTTCTCTCAGCTCAAAGGATCTTCAGATGATGGGAAAACAAAAGTAAAGCTGCTTTTTCAGAATCTAGACACCAAACAAATTGAGACAAAGGTAAGCAACATCCTCTTTCTCAGTCTAGGAAACAATGAAATGGAATTACTATCAAGGCATCAAAAATTCCATTTACTACATAGAATCACAGAATCACAGAATCACAGAATAGTAGGGGTTGGAAGGGACCTCTGTGGGTCATCTAGTCCAACCCCCCTGCC